GAGAGAGCTCGAGAGAGAAAGCGAGAGCTAGAGAGGGAGTGAGAGAGTGAGAGAGAGCGAGAGAGGGATACAAAGAGAGACAGAAAGAGACAGAGAGATATAGAGAGAGATAGAGAGAGATAGAGAGAGATAGAGACCACTTTTAACTTCAGAAACTCCTCTTCCTCATCCGCGACTCCCCATACCCAGATCGGGACTCCGAATTTTTGAGCGACCTATGGGTTTGTTGACGTTATTTTCCGGCTCTTACTGGCCATCTATAGTCACAATGCGAGCTAGCCAGCGACCTGAAACAAATATCGGCTCGTTTGCGGGAGAAATTTGGCAATGAGATGTACTGTGTCTGCGCCCCGATGGCAAACCAGCATTTGCGGGTGGCGAGCGGTCGCCTGGAGTTGCGCCCGGAAGGTTTGAATCCAGGAAGCTATGCCCCAAAAACCAGTTAGCACATCATGCCCGAGACTATCGTACCCAGGGGTGGGCAAGGTTTTGCAGCGGCAAAATCCCGGCAGTCCATTTTCCGGGAGTCCGGCAGTCCATTTTGGAAGGGAAAAAGCGATTTTTGGCGGGACGGCTACGCCGTCATACTTGGGTTACCATTTGATGGCGCAATTAGATAGATTCCAAGAACTTTCACGGTCTGGGAGTGACGCAAAATTGTGGATCTCATTGTTCCGCGTCGACCCATACCCTATATGTCCCGTCGGCAGTCCGTTATCTGTGAGCTGTTCGAACGGATATTTGGAAATAGGGTTATTTTATAGGGGTTTCCGCTCTATTTTCGTAATATGTTAATTTTTCACGCTGAAAGTGACACCAGATTGTAGATATCGTCATTGCGCGCCGAACCATACCCAAGATGACCCTTCGGCAGTCCGACTTCATGACATGTTGGACTGACGGAACGGAAAAACTAGTTTTTCGATGTTTTTCCGGCATAATTCCGGAATACGGTAATTTGAGGGCCTGGGAGTGGCACCCAATTGTAGATCTCGTCATTGCGCGTCGAACCATACCTCACAAGGCCCACCGGCAGTCCGACTTCATGGACATGTTGGACTGCCGGACCGGAAAACCTGGTTTTTCAAGGTTTTTCCGGCATAATTCCGGAATACGGTAATTTGAGGGCCTGAAAGTGGCACTAGATTATAGATCTCATCATCGCGCGTCAAACCATACCCTACATGTCCTTTTGGCAGTCCGACTTCGAGGAAATGTTGGACTGCCGGATTTGAACCCGCGTCTGCAAAATGTCTGCAGAATGTAAATCGCTCTTTTTACCTCCTAAATCGGACTGCCGACGCTTCGCTTTTGTATGCTTTGGATAGAACAGCTTACGGTCCATCTCCTCCAAAAATTTGAGCCAAATCCATCGAGAAATTATCGAGATATGATTTTTAGAAGAAACTCGTAAAATGTGCTCCTGCAAAATGGCCTCAAACTCGGCAGTCCAGGATCTCCGGCCTCCTACGTTTCCTTAAGAAGACTGATACACCACCAGATAGCCCCAAGCCTGAGCTACAAAATGAGCTATCTACCCTCCCGGTGCGCTATTGGGGCCCCGAGATATGGGCCCCTAAAGGGTCGCGACCCGGTCCTCAAAAACCCGTTTTTTTTCATTTTGCAGATGCGGGTTCAAAACCGGCAGTCCAACATTTCCTCGAAGTCGGACTGCCAAAAGGACATGTAGGGTATGGTTCGACGCGAAAAGATGAGATCTATAATCTAGTGCCACTTTCAGGCCCTCAAATTACCGTATTCCGGAATTATGCCGGAAAAACCTTGAAAAACCAGGTTTTCCGGTCCGGCAGTCCAACATGTCCATGAAGTCGGACTGCCGGTGGGCCTTGTGAGGTATGGTTCGACGCACAATGATGAGATCTATAATCTGGTGCCACTTTCAGGCCCTCAAATTACCGTATTCCGGAATTATGCCGGAAAAACATCGAAAAACCCAGGTTTTCCGGTCTAGCAGTCCAACATGTCCATGAAGTCGGACTGCCGGTGGGCCGTGTGAGGTATGGTTCGATGTGGAATAACAAGCTCTACAATTTGATACCGCTCCCATAGCTGCAAATCATCGTATTCCGGAATTAATCCGGAAAAACCCTCAAAAAGGCACTTTTCATTTAAAACCCCCAAAATGTCTCGAGGACGGACAGCCGGTTGGGTATGCAGGATATGGTTCGATGTGGATTCTACAATTTACTGAGTACCCAAGAGCCCCCAATGCTTATTACATGCAATAATTCAAATATTCAAACAAATGCTTCTTTCCGTTTTCCCGATGAAAACTTGTTACCTGCAATGTTGAATTGTTAAAAATCTCAAATTTTTTCCGGCGCTCCGCGCCGTCTTCCCCCCTCCCGGCAGTCTCTGCCCCGCCACCAAAATCCCGGCAGTCCCCATTTTGCAGATCTACCTACCTTGCCCACCCCTGATCGTACCTCAATTTTGCCAGATCTTTCTCAAAACGTTGTTCTAAACGTGGCGATCCTCGATTTGGAACGGAACCAATTTTAGAAAATTTAAAAAAACGCGCTAATTGGTTTTTTTCCTGGATTTTTGTTCTCAGGTTTTCACGACCGTCAAAGCGTGCATTATCGGGTGTTTTTTTGCTAACAAGCCTTGTAAATTCCTTAAACTGGCCATTTTGCAGTTTCTTAAAATGGTATTTCCTAATCGACGTTTAGATGGGCCGTTTATTCAAAAATTGGCCAAAGTGCAAAGTTACATCGAAGGCTGGACCCATAATACCTCCACGAAGCAGGATTTCCCGAACTTGGGAATGGTGCGCATACTGTAAAATATATTTTTGCTTTTCTAGAAAATTGCTGATTTCCTCAGCAACAAAGCTCCACAACTTGGCCCGTCAACGGTACAGGTAGAAAGGGATTTTTGATGAAAACATTTCACTTCGCAGTTAATGCGAGAGTCCAGCATCCTGGTGGCGGTAAACAAATCGCTAGAAGCGTTCTTGCAGACGATTAAGGTAACTGCTCTACAAAATATAGCATCTCTCTGCAGAACACTACCTACGAAACGTTCCAAGCTGATGTAAAGACTGCGGAAAAAGAGGGACTTGAGAGGATTCAGAAGCTGGTCAAGGCTTCGGATTTCGAAGAAGCGGCCCGTTCATTCAAGGAAAAGGCGCAGGTAGAGGAATTTGGGACTAGCAGCAGACCCTTTCAGGCAAAAAGCTAGCTATGTTTTTTAGGAAGTGGCAAAGAGCAAATCTTACGAGCTACAAGCCGGAGAGGCCGATCGAGTTGGTCAACAGCTTTCCGCGCAATTCCTAGCGGATGAAATGGCGAAAATCACAAAGGTATCAACTTTTGCTAAAAAAAAGATTGATGGATTGTGTAGATTACTGACGTGTACACCTTGCTCGAAATGACGCGTCAAAACTCCGCGACCCGGATCCCGCGCGAACTCGCTATCTCCGCCGCGCAAAAAATGGAGTTGGCCGCAAAGATTTATGTATGTCAGTGATTTCATCCTTAAAAGAACGCTTTCCTTTATTCAGAATTTTATCGTAACGCGCTACGAGCAAATACGCAATTTGCAATTAAACTTCCTGCTAGCGAATGCGGATCGTGAGATGCGGGTGGAGATGGAGAAGGTATCAGATCAAAATGAATTCCATTTTCCGCAGAAAATAGCGGAAGGCGTGGAAATACACCAAGCCGCAGAGGTTGCACGACGTCAAGCCACAGCGAGCCTGCATAGCGCCCTGGAAAAGCTGGGATTCCAATCGGGCGATATCGTGAAGATTGGCGAAAACGCTGGACGCCACCTGGAGGTTTTACTCACAATCAGGAGAGTCCGAAGAATTTTTCAGCAAGCCGCACAGGGGCTAATCCAGCGATTTGTAGCTGATCGCAACAGCAACGCGGAGCTAAAGAAGCTGCAGGCAGAATACGAGGCAAACACCAAGGTATCAAAATGACTTTGAGGAGAATTCCGCTCAATTCCTTAAAATATTTTTTCCTGAATGATTTTTTCTCAAAATCAAGCTAGTTTGGCAATTCTACCACAATTACCTAGGTTCAAAAAAATCTTAGAAAAAACCAGGGTTGAAAAGCCGCTGCGCGACTTTTCAACCCTGCCCCCGTCTAACCCATCATATTCTTCATTCTGCATACGTCTCTCGAATTCCGATGAGGAAAAATGAAAAATGACACTTTCTGCCTGAGTATATAGGCTACCGCCACTTCCCGGTATAGGCACTTAATGACGTATCAACATAGCCTAAGACCCTTCCCATCTTGAGCTATCCTCCGGACACGCTGACGGAAGTTGCATGAAAACTGGCACACACAAAAAAAAACTATTTTTTATATATAGTAGGGTGAATGCCGACTCGGCAAACAATTTCGTGCCGAGATAAACCGAAAAAAGTACCGGAAAACCAGAAATGGACGCAATTTTTACAATATGTGCACTTTCACCATTCTGTGATTCTGATTCTGATTCTTACACGTTGCTTGCCAACGGCGCCCCACGCGCTTGATAAATTAAATAAATATTATGAAGTTTTGTGGGTTTCAAGGTGGAATGAATTGAATAATAGTTTGTCGTTCTGGAGCCAAAAATTCGGCAATGTTTTTTAGCGCGGAATAGATTCTACGATGGCGCTGCCCGATGAGAGCGACGACGATTCAGTTCTGACAACAACCGAAAACGGCTTAGACGTCGCGGTGGTGGATCGTCAACCCCCAGCCCTTCCGAGCGTGCCACCGGCACATAGACAAGGTTCCGGGACAAGTCTGCCCAGGGCTTCTCCGGCGCCCTCCCGGTACGAGCCTCAAAGTCTGCCAGCAAGACCTGCGCCTGTGACCAATTATGGCACGCTACCCGCCATCAATCAACAACCGATTAGACAGCCCGAACCGCCTAGACAACCCGAAAGAGGCCTTCCAGCACGAAGCGTCCCGTTAGATGCCGCTCATTCAAGGAACAACGAGCCCGTTGACCCGCTCAAAGCTGGCAAAGATCTGATGCGGGAGGAAATCGCGATCCTCGAGAAGTGCTATACGGTAAGATTATGAGGATTGAAAATGAGTGCTTACCGAAGTCTCGAACTTTAAAGTCGCCGCCTGAAATTTGTAAAACGTAAATTAGCTTATATTTTTGTAAACAAGGCCATTCTGTAAATTTGGAAATCGGATTTGGAATCAGAAAAAATTCTGCGCATGATAGTCTTGGTCTCAACCCGAACCAAAACTGAACAGTTTCTGCGAGTTGTTTCAAAAGTTGCTAATCGCTCGTTTTTAGGATGAACGGGTCGCTAATAGGCAAATGGCCAATGAGCTGAAGGGTAAATGCTTGGATAATTGCTACGAATATTGCCGTGCGCTACGATATCAAGACCACGATATAACCGCGCTGATGCGTGAGCTTGAAGAGAAAATAATGGAGTTGGAGCGACGGTTCCCCCGCGACGACCCGGCCGTCGATGACACCAGGTGATCGAAGATCGAATTCGAGTGATTTTAATAGTGATTTAGCTCCGACAACCTACCTGCGTCGCTTGTGAGTTTATTGCGCTCATTGTTCGGTTTCGTGGGCGGGAAAATATGGTCGTGTTCTGCTTGGGAAAATAAGCTCGATAATATAGCGTTTTTCCCAAAAAGCTCCCGCTTATAGAGGTCTGGAGGAAGCACGGATCAGAATGTTTTTTATGCCATTCCAAATGGCGACAAAAAAGCGCTTTTGACTTTCCCAAAGTTTTATCTCTCAAGCTATATAGAAGATTTTCCTAAAAAAGGTGAAGGAGCAATTAAGCTGCAGAAGTCGCATCAAACCCGGTTCGATCCCAGGCCGTAATTTTTCTTGGTTTTCGACCCTAAACTTCGTAGACTAAAATGCATTAGTTTCCAAAAGCAAGAACGCCTGTTTTCGCGCCTAACCGGGAGCTTTCGACCGATACCTAAATCGATAATACGGACACTTCCCCATCCCACTAGAAGCCCGCTAGCGCCGTTAGACGGCTTTCGGCGAGCTGGCCGGAATTGATCATTCCGGCAACGGTCCGCTAAAACAATGAAGCGTTTTCAGATGGAAATGTTATGTTGTGCCCCTAAGCGTGTTTAGGGTGCATTGTACGCCTCCGCGAAAGATTGCTTCTACTCGATATTCAATGACGAAACTAGCTCCTCCTCTACGCAAGACGACCCACCCCAATCGACTAACCAGGATATGTATGAGGAGGAGCTTGACTAGTTTTGATAGTTTTTTTTTATTTAATAAAAAGCATCCTCGAAGAAATGGTCGTACAGATTATACCAGCGTTTCAATACCGGCGTGGATTGCCCAGCCATTTACTACTATGTGTTTCACGTACCTCTGATTTAAAGTAAAAAACATTCAAAAACTATTTTTGACACTAGAGGGGTTGAAAAAATTAGGCTTTTCCAAAAAAAATTTGGCGATTTTCTTGCGCACAAAATCCTGAAAGCAAAAAAAATCCTTTATTGGGGCTTATGATAGGCAACGTTGACAGTCTCGGATAATAGCGGGCAGCAGCAATTACAAGCGTTAAGTACCACATGCAAAGGTAGAATCAGAATAGGAGTCGCTTCTACATGATCGAGCAACCGCCCTCCTCCTCCTTCTTCTTTTTCTCCGCCGCAATCCGTGCCTGCTCCGCCACACGCGCGGCCGCCTCCTTGCGCAACTGAAAAGAGCATGGGTGAAAAGAAGGTGACACTGTAGTTCCAAAAAAAAGGAAAACTAAAAAAGAGGTGATCTGGCTTTTTCGACGCAAACTATAGCTGACAATACTCCGCGAGAGATTTCTGCTAGCCTGCCCTAAACTCAATGCACTAGTCCGGCGTAACAATTGGTTTCAAGAAAATTTAAAAAGAAACTAGCCAATGATCAGACGCACAAAAAATACCGTCAAAAAAGCTATTACGCATGATATTTGTTCCCCTTAAATCCAATCAGCAAAAAGTTCAAAGAAATAGAGAAAGAAAAAGAAAGATAGAAAGCCCAAAAAATGAATAGCGCATTGGGTCGACAGCCCCCCTTTCCGCGTCGTAAGCGTCCAGAGGGGCGCTCCGTCGCTCTTTCCCCCCACAAGGCTATAGTTGCGCGGCAATAATAAATTTATTGTGGAATCCTTGTTTTGTTTCTTTTAAATCTGTCTAATCGAAGTATAACCTAATATTTGCCACATTAATTTGATGGCTGGCGAGCCAAGGCTGGCGGGGAGCCAAACTAGACGTTCGCGGCTTTAGCTTCCGGTTCAAACGGCTTTTTGCAAGTCAGGATTGCTGTTAACACCTCTGGCCATTGGCCTGGTCTTGGATACCATGTACATACCCGTTCTTGCTCTTGCTCTGCCTTTAGTTCGGCCTTTTCCTGACGGCGCCGGTCTTCCGCAGCCTGTTCGCGGCGCTCTGCCGCGTCGAGCTCCTGTAAGGCGTATTTGATTGGATGGCTCCCACAAGGCAAACCCGGCCCATCAAAAAAACTACCATTCTCCGCATCTCCAGCTCCATTTGACGTTGCGCGGCAAGGTTGGCCTCGCGGCGCACCTCCGCGGCCTGGCGCTCTTCGCGTTCCTGCGCGGCGCGTTCTTCTTGGCTAAATTGTCGCGGGTCGAGGCGGAGGTTTCAGACGGAGAGAAGACAAAGAGACTATCAGATCTATAGTTTTGCGAAGCGGTTTGCTATGTTTTTTATTAGCAGTGCTCTAGTGACGGCTGTCAACACGAAACCAACCGGCGAGCTGCATCATTCATCTGCTGGATCATCAACATCATCGGATCGACGCTCGCGCTCCGCTTTTGTTCTTCTAAAGCAATCACTATATTATCGCAAGATGTTCGTATTCGCATTATTTTAACGATTTTTTAGCTTGAGGCGCTCCAGCTTCGACAACATTTTGGTTGTCGTTTGGTTCCCTACGAAAATTCGCTGCTCCCCCGCAAAAATTGATTGGAAAATCGTTTTTTATCGTTTTCGGCTCGTAACTATCCTACTATACAGGGTGTCCCAAAACAAAAGCACCCCCTCTAGCGGCGCGCAGTCGTGTCCGATTCCCACCGTTTAGGTATCTATCGAAAGCTCTTGAAAAGGCGAGAAAACAAGGAGGGTTCATTTTCTTTATTATGTATTTTTATTAGCAAATTTACGTCCAAAAACCATGAAAACGGCAGATTTACGCGAGATCTGCATGCTAATCGCGAAATTCCTATTAGAAATCTACCTGTTTTTTAGAAAAACGTTGAATATCCAGCGTATAAAAATAAATCTCATAAAATGAATCCCGCTTGTTTTCTCGCCTTTCCGAGAGCTTTCGAATGGTATAAAAATTATCCCGATCTGAGCTTCCCCCGGACCGCTAGAGGGGGGTGCTTTTTTTTGGGACACCCAGTATATCAACTACAGGGTGTCCCAAAAAAAACGACCCATCTGGCATTTCGCCGTGTTCCATCCAACCGGGCCCAAATTTGGACCAGAGGTGTATCACACCCTAAATAACAACAATCCTGACTTATAGCCCTGTAGCTACAGTAGTTTTAAAGTTATAACAAAAACAAACTTTATTTTCCATTTTTCATAGGGTTTCCGTGGAATTAGACCCCCTAAACATTAAGTGAAAATGATCAGGTAGGCCTTCTTTACCGTTAGAAATTTTTTCCAGAGTAAAATTAATTAAATAAGCTTCGATCTAAGCGATTTTTACAACACAAAACTACCCCAGTTCTTAAGCGAAATTAGGGATTCGCAGCCGGAAGTCGATGCAAATCGATGCAAAGCCCAAAAAGATAGCCGATAAAACTGTTCAGAATTCCGGGAAAAACAGTATTTTCGTTATAACTTTAAAACTACTGTAGCTACGGGGCTGTAAGTCAGGATTGTAGTTATTTAGTGTCTGATACACCTCTGGTCCAAATTTGGGACCGATTGGATGTAACCCGGCGAAATGCCAGATGGGTCGTTTTTTTTGGGACACCCTGTATAATAATTTTGTTGACGCGTCCGTCCGTCTGTCTGTCCGTGTGAAGCCGAATTCAGCTCGAAGGGGAAAGGAGCTAGAGCTTAGCTCTCTTCGGATTCGGATAGAGCGTGGTCAGAAACCCCCAAACTGATAAAAAAATTATGAAAAAGTTTTAGTTTAAATTATTAAAATTAACTTTGAAAGTTTTTTCCTTAGTAAAAGGGGTGGGGATGGAGGTTGGGGTGATTTTGGAGATAGTGAGCCAGGTCGCGCGCGTTTCGTGAATGAAAATTTTCACGGGGGGTTTCATTTCTTTTTTTCTCTCATTCCATCCGGTCGGTCGTTATTTTTGTTTTTTAAGGGGATTTCGGCTAGGGGAGGTATCTGAAGCCATCAGGAAGGTATTTAGGTAATTTTCGAAGGGGATTTCAGCCATGGGGGGGAGGTATCTGAAGCCATCGGGAAGGTATTTAGGTAGTTTTTGAAGGGGATTTCGGCTATGGGGGGTATTGATGGAGGTGGGAAAGGATGTGGTGGAGTGGGACATGTAGGGTAGCCCGAAGGCCAGATGGTTGCAGTCGCGAAGCGACTGTAACCATCTGGTAAAAAATAGTGTCTGTGTGTGTGTCTGGGTGTGGCACTTTGCATGCACTTCCGTCTCTCTGTCCGGAGGATATCTCGATAGGGGATGAATTTTAAGGTATGTGTGCTACGTCAATAGGTGCGTAATGGCCCGGAGATGACTGCACGCTTAACAGATTTAACAAAATCACCTATTTTCGACATTAAATTTAAGTTTTTGTGAAAATCCCTTTGTTAGGAACAATTAGCATAGACTGGAAGTGGGGATTCGCCTATATAAAGGGACAGGAGAGGTGTTTTTCATTTTTGTCATCTGAATTTAGGACAATTATGCAAAGTGAAGGATAAAATGGGGTCCGACGGGGCCAGGGATGAAAAGTCGCGAAGTGACGAGAAGTCCTGGTGTCTTTAAAATAATTTACCGCCTAGTGGTGCTTGCATAACCATCGGTATAAAAATAAGATAAATTGGAGCGAGCGCATATAAATGGGAAGATTGGAGCGGCTGGGAAAAGTTAAAAGGGTGGGGTCGCAACTGTCGCGGACAAATGTCGTGAAACCCCGCCGGGCGAATCTTTGAAAATCCCTACCAAGCTGTCTCTCAAGCTCCTTGTTGGCCTGTTTCTGCTCTCGCATCTGCTGGCTCCACTCCTTTTTCCATAGCTTTTGCTGCTTATCGGTTTCAGCAATTTTCTGGGTCATGCCTTTGAATTTCAGCATGCTGCCGGCTTCGTGGGCAAACTCGTCCTCGCATTTCTGAAAGCCAGCGTTCGATCGTGATAGAGAACCTTACCTTGAAGCGATAATTGATGCTTTGCATGTAGTTGTCGAGCATCTGCTCCAGCAGCTCCGCCTTGATGCCTTTCAGCGTCGAGCCGAACTCGGAGACGAATTGCGACTGTGCAAAAAGGAAGGATGATTGGAAGCTTTGACAGCAGGGTTGTTCATCGCGTCCCCGGGTCAAAACTTTAGAAGCCTCTATCTCGGTGCACGAGGTACCTAGCAAGATGAAAATTTGTGGAGTTGTAGAGTAAGGGCAGAGCAACGTTCTTGCAAAATTTTAAAGTCGTAGCGTCATTGTCAAGCCCGGGGGACGCAGGAGGACGCAGGGGACGACAGGGCACCCGTTCCCTGCGTCAGCCTGCGTCCCCGTGCGTCCCTGAGCCGCTAGCGCCTTGAAATTTCGCGGGAACTTTCGCCTCCCCTGACTCGACAACTCCACAAATTTTTATCCCGCTAGGTACCTCGCCCGCCAAGATGGAGGCTTCGAAATTTTCAAACCCAGGGGCGCGATGAAAACCCAGTTCGTCAGCACCTTTTGGACGCCGTATGCACTGATGCAGTAAGTGCGGGTAGCTGCTTGAATTGCCTCGATCTGCGCCGCCGTCTCCACCTCGGTGACTTTCTAGAGACGTTTCGTCGGGGGTCACTGGGCTACCCATACCTCTTTGAAGCGTCTCTCATAATCCTGGAGCAGCTGCTCGAAGAAATCACGTGCAGCTTCCTGCGCCTGCATGATGGCGTTGTCGCTCTGGATCGTTTCGAAGCGCGCCTAAAACG